TTTGCCGTTTGCCTTTTTTACCAGTACTGGGTTGGCTACCCAGCTCGGGTAATGAGCTTCCCTGATGAAGTTTGCTTCGAGGAGCCTCTCGACCTCCTCATCGACCGCCCTCCAGCGTTCTGGGGCTATGTTGCATTTCTTCTGTCTAACGGGTTTGACTACGGGGTCAGTATTGAGCTTGTGAGTCATGAGCACAAGGTCTATGCCGAGCATTTCTGCCGCGAACCAAGCAAAAATATCTAAATTTTGAAGTAAGAAACTTACTAGTTCGGATTGTAGAGGTTCTTGGATGGAAGCACCAATCTGTAGCATCCGAGTTGGGTCTGCCGTCGAAGTCGGGACCGTGACCGTTTCTTCTGTGGGTGCAGCTCACTCTTCGCCTTGCTCCGTAGGGCGTTCCAGTTCGAGTTCACCAGCCACCTTGGTTTTTCCCTTCAAGGCGACCACATAGCATCTGCGGGACTCGAGTCGGTCGCCCCGCGCTACTCCCACACCGAAGTCCGTGGGGAACTTCATCGCCAAATAGTAGATGGAGACCACCACCCGTAAGACATGGGTGATTGGCCGCCCTACTATGACGTTGTACGGGGAGGGGGTCACGACCACCAGGAAATCGTGGTTGAGTCTGACCGCACAGGGCCACGTACTGACCTCGACGAGTACTGTCACTTTCCCAAGGGGCCTGACTTCTTCCCCACTGAAGCCCACCAAGGGAGTGTTCACGGGCTTCAAGTCACTTCCCCGCAGTTGGAGCTGGTCAAACGCCGATTTGAGAGAATGTTTGCCGAGCTGCCTGAGTTGACAAGCACGCACCTGACTTCGAAGTCGTTGATCCTCAGCTTTATCACAAGTGCATCGTCATGAGGGTAGTGGACCCCTCGCGCATCGTCTTCTGTGAAAAGAATTGGCTCTTCCACCTTTGGCCTCTTTGAAGGATTTTGGTCTTCTCGGGCAGCTTCGCGAACTGACGTCCGGGCCATTGTCGAAGTGCACCCTGCTACAACCAAACCTCCCACTATCACGTGGATGGTCCCCCGAACTGGCCTCTCTTCCGGAGGCTGCTTCTTTGGCTGTTCGGCCGGCCTGCTGCTAGATTCAGGAGCATCCTTGCCGCGCTCCCCTTGCTAACCTGTCTTACTATTATTATTATTGTTATTACTATGTTGTACAAAATTTCTTAAGTATCCGCGGCGGATGAGTTCCTCTATCTCGTCGCAGAGATAATTACAATTTTCGGTACTATGACCGTGATCTCTATGGAAACTGCAGTATAAATTTTTGTTCCTCGCGTTTGGGTTCCCTTTTAGGCGAGGTGGCCACTTCACATACGAGGCGTCCTTGATCGTCATTAAGATCTCAGCCCGCTTTGTGTTCAAGGGCGTATAGTATGTCCGACCTACCACGGGAGCTCGGAACGGCTAGCTCAGTTTCAACGCCCGAGATGGATCCTTCCGGCTGTCTCCTTGGTTGGGGAGTTCTTCTCTCTTTCTTTTTTCAAACCCGCCCCCAGTCCTTTGATGGATCTCCTCCTCCGTTCTCATGAACTTGTCCGCAAGATCAAGGAATTCGGCGATGGTCGCGGGCTGGTTAGCCACTATGTGCCATTTGAACTCCTTGTGCATCACTCCCATCTTGGCCGCCGCGAGCTGAACTGCGGGGTCCAGGTGTGGGATCTGTAGGCATGCGTCGTTAAACCGCTTGATGTAGCTGCGGATGGGTTCCCCTTCCTTCTGGACCACGCCGAGGAGGCTCTCCTCGGTTCGGGGGCACCGCTTGCTGGTTACGAAGTGCGCAGTGAAGACTTGTACGAACTGGGCCCAGCTCCTTATTGACCCGGGGGCCAGGTTCCTGTACCAGGTGCGAGCCACTCCTCTGAAGGTGGTGGTGAAGGCTATGCACATACAGGACTCGCTGGCCCTTGCCAGGTGCATCTGGGACTGGAAGGCATCGACATGGTATGGGGACTACAAGGAGTCCTGACGACAGGGGGGAAGGGACTGAGAGGACAGGGGTAGCTTTTACCTCGTCCGAGCTCGCTTCTTCTTTGCCTCGGAGCTCGGGTAGGACGTGGGTTGTAGTTCGGCGGCTTCGTCGGTGGCACCTCTGCTGCTTGGAAGGCCCGGTGCTGGCGTTGCTTGCCTCAGTGCTCCCGAGCTCGATGGGCCTAGACTGTTGGGGGTAGTCCGCGGCCAAGGCGCTGAACCGGTTCTCGGTGTGCAGGAGCCCATCCTGAGGGAGCCGAGGTGATGCTGTTTTGGCAGATCGGGTTCCTGATCCGTCAGCATGTGGCGAGGCGGGGGCCGCAGTTCGCTCTCTCCTACCAGGGGATGAGGCCTGGCTCCTAGAGGGGCTCCGAGACTGGGAGGCCCGAGCTTGGGGAGCCCGAGCTTGGGAACCCTCCTGGTGGGGGCGCCTGCCTTGAGGGGAGGGCTTGGCTCGCCTAACGGTGGGGTGCCGAGGTGGGAGCTACGACTGACTTTGAAGCTGACTTTGAAGCAGTTGGGGGACTGCTACTGGTAGTGGTATTGGGAGACATGGTGCAGCATCTGCTGCTGGTGGATTTGCTGTTGTTGAAGCTGCTGCATCTGGGCTTGGATGGCCCGCACACCATGCATCAGGTCATCGAATTGGTTCTGGCTAGTTGCCGGGGGAACAATGGTGGGCTCGGCAAAGGTGGTTCCAACAGAGGGAGGAAGGGGGACGTTCACGGAGGGAAGATTCATGGGCGCCATTGTTCGCAGCGTACTCAGGCTGGGGATCCCATCCACCGAAAGGGGGTTGGTGAACTGTCCGATGCATACCACGGGGACTTGAAGTTGCTCCCCGGTGGCGTTCATCTCCGTGCTACGTCCGGCATTGCTGGAAGAAGAGGTACATGATAACTTTGCGCTATCTGGTTTTGATCTTGCCTTTGACGAAATACTAACTTGAGCTTCGGAGCGCTCTCGCTGGGTTCCTCCCCGGAGACTCCTCGCCTTCTTCCTCGTTTTAGGCACCTGTTGCTCCAGTCAGAGGCAAGGTCGTTGACAGGTAAGACCAACCGGATTGCACTACATCATTTGGCGCCGTCTATGGGAATACGCACGGAGATGAGGGCCTTTTATAACCACTTCGTGCACTCATTCCCAAGCTCCTATCAGGTCGGGTATCATTGCCTCTGCACTTCTGCCAGTTCGGGTGTCGTCACTTCTACACTTCTGCCAGTCCAGGTGCCATCACCTTTGTTGGGGCAGGCAACCACCACTGCTCTCTTTGTCGGAGCTGTCTCTGTAACTGGAGGTGGCGGTGGCAGGTGGTCGTTGAAGTGCGGCTGTCAAGCGTCAGACTCCAAGTCAGTCTGGTGCGCCGCCTCAGGATACGAACTCTAGTGTTAGGTACGGTGGTTCAGTTCAGTGGCTGGGAGACGAAGTGTCGGAGTAGTGCGCGAGGTAAAGTCTTGAGTCCGGATAGGGGTGCGGCCCGAACTGCCGTGGGGTGGGCCAGTTCGGGTTGTGGCCCTTTGTGCTCCTCTCAAGGGGGGGAGTTTGGGCTTCTTTTGGGGAGCTCAGGTTACAGGTACCTCTCGGGGGAGCACGGGGTTCCTCTTCTTGGAGCTCGCGCCTTGAGCATTGCCGTGCCGAGCTGTCATTCTTGCCAGGTCACCCTTGGTTGTTTCCACGTGTTGGGTCGGGTCAAATTTACCTCCATCAACAATGATGCAAGAGGTATCATCTAAGAGCGGCAATGAAAATTTGAATTTTGTTCCACCTATTATGAAGCAAGGTTGTTGGATGACTTTCATTAGAGAATTGATTCAAATAAGTATAAAAAATGCTTCTAAGTTGAAACAAAATAACAATGAATACCACTGTTTTCCAAATCGGACTGGACCGGATGGTTGGACCAGAAAAACCGGGAATCAATCACCTGACCGGTTCTATTTTCCTCTAAAACCGCTTTTTCCCTCAAAACTATTGATTTTGGTCAATAAATCGCTGAACCAGCCAGTTAATCATTCAAATGATTTTGACCGTTTTCTAATTTTTTATTTATTTTATTTATTTTTTTAATTTTTTTATCAAAACAGGCCAGAACGATCAAACAGTTGAAGCCGATAACCAGACCCTGACCGGTTCGTTTCTAAAATCCATGATGAATACTGAATGTAAAACTAGCCATAAAGTCATTCATGATAGTGTGAAACCTGCCAAGGCAAAGTCATCATATCCAAGGAAAAAACTGATCAAAATCATGAATCAGTGACAATATAGAGAAAAAAAAAAAGAAAAGAAAAGAAAAAGAGTTATAAGTGAGGCTCAAGAGATAATAATTGGAAATCAGTCATACTTCATTTGGAGATCGTCAAGAACAAAGTTTTTCACCCATTAGTTATTCTTTCTAAATTTCAATGTTTTCTCATTCTACGCTAATGTATGGAGCTTTTTCTCCTTGTATGGCTTTAAGGGTTAGAATACACGCCCCCCTCTTGTCTTTTCTTAATACTTCAATGTTAAAGATTTTTTCTTTTTTTTTCTTAAAAATAATTTAATTTAATTATAAATATCATGGTTTTCAAAACCGGATCGGACCAGATAGGTGGATCGGAAAAACTGGGAACCAGTCACCTGATTGGTTCTGTTTTTTCTCAAAACTGTTGATTTTGGTCAGCAAACTGCTGAACCGGCCGATTAAACGTTCGAACAGATTTGACTATTTTTTAATTTTTTTAATTTTTTTAATTTTTTTATTTTTTGTTAGAACAAGCCGGCTGTTCGGGTCGTACGGTCAGACCATTCAAACCGGTAACCAGACCCCTGACCGGTTCGGTCACCGGGTCGGTTTTAAAACCATGATAAATATTATTTTAAAGAAGTCTTAATTGTTAGTAACCATATAATTTAATTTACTCACTTTCTACATTCTTTCAAGTTGTTGTTGGGTTGTTCCCCCTATTATTCAATTCTACTAATGTGCTCAACACCATGCACGGATTTTATGGATTTGTAATGTAGGCCATTACATAATCTCTACTACTATATTATAACCATCTATTATTATAGACTACAGAACGGCCATTTAGCATCTCTCTCTCTCTCAAACTGTTAGTTCTCACTGGCTAGCTAGTTGCAAGTTCCAACGGCAAATCCTAACCTTTGTCCAGGAACATCATAAATCACCTCAAATGTCCGTTGTTGCCTGTTGCCAAAGATGACCATTTGGCTATCATCTATGTTTGCAGCAAAAGCCAAGCAAGCTTGAGATTCACTTAGGACAGCAAGAGCTCCTGAAAATGGGTCCACCTGGAGGTCTGTATCTCCATCAAAATGCAAGACGATGCTAGGTACATTCACTGTGTCTATGTTGTAACCGCTCAAGTCATAGCATGTGTCGTAAGGTGATATTGGTGGCGCCAGCGGGTAGTTTGACTCTGACATTACTTGCCGGAAGGCCGACCGAAGGGCATCATAGGCCGACGGTGGTAGACGAGTGACAACAGTGCCAGAGTCTATGATGGTTCCAGGGGTTGTAAACACTGAAGGATCAATGGCCAATCTTTGCCCCTCGACACTTATTCCTATTAATTGAACGAAATAGAAGTTGGGGTAACCGTCGGGATTTGGTATCAACTGGGTGTAGTTCACAGCAGAGGAGGTTTCACTGGTTTGGTCACCAAAAGCCAAGTACCCAATGGAGCTTTCTGAACGTGGGAGACAATAAGAGAAAATTTTTCCATAGGTGCTGGCCGTTTGAGACACCAGAGACACCTGGTTGCGCGCTAAGCCAAGAATCCCCGCTACTGTGACACCATTGATCAGACTATTCTTTTGACCACACCCAAATTGAAAACTGGAGAAGACATCTGAAGGTGTTAGCGTGAGCGTTTCTCGTCCGAAGAGGCCGATAGAGAAGGATTGATCACCATAATGGGCTTCGTAAATGCAAGCAGAGTTGCAGGGAGGAGAGTAGAATGTGGCCGAGTAGACATGAGAGCACTCGGCTGAACCACATGTGATGCCGGAATAAGACGATGACTTGGAAGGGTCGAAGGTGGGYCCYGATTGKTYATAGCAGKTYGGACYRTTTGGACATGGYTGGCAYTGRATCCAAGTGAGGTCGCTACCAGTGTCMATAGYCACCMWRAAATCTTGCYTCGGYGTGCCCAGTCCGATGYTAACAATGTARTTCCCAGTTCCRAGRGCGACGCCAGACTTGGTAGGAAGTACTGTAGCCTTGGAGTCTCCAAGAGGATGTTGCTGATTGTTGATTAAGGAATGAATGGAGCGAACTCGGAGTTCATCTTGGAGGAAGATTTCCTGCAGGCTGGGAGTCGTCTTCCCTTCTACACTTAGTGGTGAACAGGGCCCATTTTTGTGTACTAATTGCAACTTCCGGGAATGATCCAAACCTGATGAAAGTTGAAACCATTCAAAGAAACCTTATATCGAGTTTAATTTAATTATATATATGAACCTCAATTGCAATGTGGAGATTGTCCATCCACAGGAAATAAAGAAAATATATGAAAGTGCATTAATGCACTAAATAGGAAGAAAGAAAAGCTCACATGTATACCTTCAAGGGGAGGTGAGCAAGTTGCTCCAGGAAGTAATGAATTAACTGCAATCTCCACTGTGTTTCCTCCATAGGCGTCAACATTATACCAACTGAAGAAGAGAAGCAAAGGAAGAGAAGGGCATAGGAAAGAGCTAAGGAAAGAAGTATGAAGAATGGCCATGATTGGCTGATGTAAACTTGTAACCATTGCTGCTGCTGCTACTGCTATTTATAGAGGTAATGAATGAATTCATAGTGCCAGGACTAATTAAGCGCATTTAATATTAATTAGTTGGCTTTTGACGGGAATAGAAGACTTGCAAAAGACTTTGAATAAGTCCTCCCGAGAGTTACTTTTTTACTTTTTTTTTTAAAATCTAATTAAAAACTAAATATCTACTTATTAGAGTTGTGGAGTTAGAAACTTCCCTGCATCAATATGAAATTGGGATATGGTTTGACTGTGGGTCGTCGTCGTCGGATTAAGACAAATGGATCGGTTGGATCCAGAACACTACGGAGCAAAATCGAATCGTTGGAACATTAAACATTGGGCATTTTTTTATAGATATAAATTATAAAATAAGAAAGAAATTAATAGAAAGTTGAGTATAAATTGCTGTCAATGCTACTATAAAAAATAGGTATAGGTGAATACCCACAGCTAGCAAGATGCCAACTGGTTGGTTGGTAAGGTGTTTGACTGATTGTAGAGGAGACTTCATCTTCCTCCCATTCTGTAGTCATAGAGATCTGCTATCAACAATAAAATACTCTCAATGGGGAAATGTTTTCATTTTCCAGTATGCGGTTGCAGTGCCATGTTGGGAGGAGTTCAGATTGCACCCACAAGGAGACGCCCCACAGCACATCCCCGCCGTGTATCAAGAATATCTCCCGATGATAACATAATAAATGGCGGGAATGTACTGTGGAACATTGTGGGACGCCCCTTGTGAGGCGCAGACGTGTGTAGCCCCATGGAGCCAAAAAAACGTACAGCTAAGGGTCAATTATTGCTTGACTTCATGTTTATAATGAGTCCAAATCTAGTGCAAGCACCGACATGTGATACAAGGATTGGGAGTTAATATTTATATTTGTACTCGTTTCAAATGGAGCCTATATATTCCAAAGTTGGGTTGGTTTTGCACGACAAATTTATTACCTTGTTATAAAACAGATTTTTAGTTGTAATGGATGTAAATACGAATTCTAATAAAATATATGCCTTTTTTTTATCAAAAACCTCATTTAAATGCAAATTTATTTCTTTTTTATTGATGTACTTTTACGTCTTATTATCAATGTAAATATGTATTAAAAAATGTATTTTCTGTTATTTATCAATGCATAAATATAGTGTTGCCAAACACAGGCAAAAATGAACCAAAATATAAATTTATCCTAAACTGGGATTTACACTCCATTTCCATCAAACGCAGCCTAAATAAAGATTGTAGAAAATGAGACTTGGACCTTTTACGTCTCCAGTTATAGCCTAAAATGTGCATCACAATTCGGTAGGGATCTGCTACTAATAAAATGCTCCCTTGTTCCAACAGTCCTCTGCAGCCGCATATTGAAAACATCTCTCTTATCTTATCAATCAAGGGAGATATTCCCAATGTACGGTAAGAAAGGCTGGTTGGGATGTCTGTAAACACAGACATGTATAATAAGTTAATCTAAATGGGAGTTAGGAGAGAAATGTGCATCACACATTCTAGCCGTAAAACTGACAGCAACAGATCGGAAGTCTTTGTGACAAAATATATGGTTGTGGTTTTTGTGGTCAACACAGAATTATAGCGTAAAATGTGCTTCACACTTTGCTGTTTTATCGCGGTATTTTTGCAAGTAACAAACAGCTTGGAGTTAAAGAGTTGTAGATTAGATCGTTTTCAGGATTTGTGGGGCTTAAAGAGCGATTTCGCTTTTTGGATGAACTTTATTTTTCAGTTTTCACAGCCAAAAGCTCAAAAGCAAAAGATCATTGGATTAGCTTAACCCCATTTTTACAGTTTTGATACCCAAGACCGTTCAATTAATTAAAGGGCAAATTTTTGTTCTTAATATCAATAAAAATAATATTTTTTATGAGATATTTCTTTTTGAAAAATATCAAATAAGGGCATTCGTCTTCCTCCTCTCTATTTTGGTGGCTTCTCTGTTAATGTTTGTCGTCGATAACTCTAAGTCAAGTGATGATCTCTCAACCAGACCAGGACCTTCAATCCATCGGCCATGTGTGCCATCAAGACCGAAACAAAAGAAAGTTCCTCCAATCAACCAGCTTGAACTCGAACTGCTTCAACAGCGAATCCGTCACCGTCTTCCCAACGTGGTACGCCGGTACTTCCTCCAATGCGGAAGTGTTGGCATACACCGGTACTTCCCGACGTGGTATGTCGGTACTTCCTCCAACACGGAAGTACCAACATTGGAGAAAGTATCGGAGTACACCGTCTTCCCGACGTTGGATTTGCTGCAATTCCCGCAGCAACAAGTACCGGCGTACCACAATTGTCAGCATCTGAAACACAGATCTGTAAACTTTAGGCCATCCTCGTGAGGAAGTCTGTGAACCTAAAGTTTACGATCGTCTTCCTCTACATCTGGTGCATGATTTGTCAAAGAAGAGAACTTACACAGTTTTGGTTGGTAGGTTGGTAGGCAAGAATGATAGAGCCGAGAATCAAAGATGAAGATACTTGATGACTGAACGCGTTTCATTACGAGGAGGATCTCTATTTATGGGGGGAAATCCCAAGATCTTAAAAAAAAAAGAGATAAAGGTGCTTGTTTCATAATAGGAAAGGGAATATTAGATTTGTTGTCAATCATTAAGAGCGTTGTTGGGGTTTCATCACGTGTCCCTATAGGGATCTTTCTGAGGTTTGGCTTTCCTTTCACTCGGAGATCCACATAACTCACGTGTACTACTACTCTTTGTGCGCCTTTTTAACTGACGTGGCGCTAGTAACATCATCATCTGGTGGATGACGTCTTATTAGATCTACGTGGTGCCTTGTCACGTTCGTCCCTTCGAAGTTACGCATGTAGGTAACATCTGGGTTCGGTTCTTAGTGAACCGGGGTGCTGTAATGACTAAGAATTTATCACAAGACCTCGTGTGTGTGAACCTCATCACGGGTTCGACCCGAGTTTGCTTTGGCTTGAGCTAAAAATTGGTTCATCGCAAGCACTCGATGACCTGTGGGTTTATCGTAGCCTGCAATGATCTGTGGGTTTATAGCAAAAGGAAGCTTGGCTGAAGACTGATCACAAGCATCCATGTAGTATCAATGCGGTATTTACTATGCTCTGAGGGACTGAACGAGCACTATATACCTACAACCATAATCAGAACATTAATCAAACATCTCCATATAAAGAAGCAAAAAATAAAAAAGGGAAGACAATGTGTTTTATTATCACTAGTGTACCAAATAAATTCTATGGATGATCTCTTCTCTGTCAAATAAACTCTAATTTCCTATTTATTTCTTGTTATATATAAACAATAGATAAATAAAATAACATGAGCAAACAGAAAAAATTTCAATTATTTGATTAAAATATGTAAAAATACATAAATTATCATGCACATAAAATGCAAAATATTATTAAATTCAACACTTAATACATAAGGCTCAATTTGATAGGAGTACAAATACAAATATGTACTGTGCTAATACATACAAAATACAAGGTTTTGCACTCTACAAATTTATATTTATACTCCTTCCAAACAGAGCCTAAAATTCATAAACTTTTTAACAATATGTGGGTCGGGCCGGGAGGGCTAAGTTTAACCTAAAACCATAGCTTACCCATATCTATACCTTATCCATACGGGTTATAGAATCCTAAAATCTGTCCCTACTCCAAAATCCGTTCTTAAATAAAAAAATAAAAAGCAAAAAAAAAACGCAAAAATTGCGTGAAAACATAATTTAGCCAACGATGCATGCATCAGATAAGAGAGGATCCTATATCTTCGCCTTGTGTTCGTTCACTTTACCAATCACTACATTACACCTCACCCCAAGTGGGTATATTATTTTATTTATTTTTGGTCAATAAGACAGAGGTTGATTTAAGGTGTGGCAAGTGCCGTAGGCCTGAAACTTTCCGGTGATAAGAAGGGAAGAGAAAAGAAATGGTAAATTTCCCTAAAATTTCTATTGTCTGACCAACTTGTACATGTCTAATTTTCTGCTTTAAGTTTTATATGTTTGAATAATACAATAGTTAGTGAAAGCTTAAAAGCAAAAAAAAAAAATTTGTGGGAAGGGCCATGTAGGAATTAGGAAACATATTTCTTTGCCCACATTTTGCTATTTTCCCATTTGATTAGGAAAGATTTATCCGCCGAAAGTCACAATCCCAAAAGACACGGAAAGTTCATTTTGGGCTATTTTCGGAAAGGTCTAAATAGAGTTTTTTGCTTTTTTTTTTAATTTATCTTTGCACAGAAAGACGTAACTTAACCAAACGGTCTTCAAACTGTTAAGATCTTAATATAAAAAATCCACATTGTTTTTTAACTATCAAAGCTTCTAGAAAATATTTCAAAAAAGACTTGCCAAACAGCCCCAACTTGTCTTTAAGACTAATTTACATCTGAAACAGGGCACCCCAGCAATGGAAATTAAAAGCAGTTCACACCTGATGGTCCGGATGTAGTAGGCATGTTAAGTAAGCACGAGTAGCAAATGCGCCTTTCTTCTAAACGTTTTTGTTCCGTTAGGGATTATCTATTATTTTATTATTTATGTCAAAATAATTAAAAATAAAAAAACAATAAGAAAAAAGGAAAAACTGTCCTTTCTCTCCAACCTTCTGCCGTTTTGGGTTCTCTCACCTCTTGACCTTCGGCCGCTGCAACTGGTTGGTTGGGGCATTCCAATGGCCGAGCAGTTGACCTGCACCCTGCCGCTTGGAACATCCGATGGCCGAGCAGCAAGGAATTCTGTTGCCTTGTTCACTCCCTCTTCTTCTCCTCTTCTCTGTTGTCTTCCTGTTCAGACTCCGGGAATGTTCGGTCAAGTTGCCAGTCTCCAACGAGGATTCCAATCATCAGAAATTTTCACCCACTTGGCACGCTTCCCCACCGCTCTCTCAAGGCCCTGTCTCAAAAGTATGGGCCGCTCATGCTATTGCATTTGGGCAGTGTCCCTCTGCTCGTCGTTTCCACCATAGAGATGTCTATGGAGATCACTAAGACCCAAGATAATAACTTTGCAACTAGGCCTTCTACAACTGCTGCAAAGAAGCTTCTTTATGGCTGCAATGACTTGGGGTTTGCACCTTACGGCAAGTACTGGAGACAGATGAAGAAGATGTCTGTTCTCCGCCTCTTGAGCGTCAAGAGAGTGCAGTCATTCAGATTTATAAGGGAAGAAGAGGTTGCTCTTTTGATCGAGAATATATCTCACTTATGTCAGTTGCGCAACTCAATTAATCTAAGCGAGTTACTTACCATTCTATCCAATAACTTGATTTCTAGAGCTGCTTTCGGTAGCAAGTTTGAAGAAGAAGATGATAATAGCAGACGGATCGGGCCTTTGACAAGGGAGGTAATGCCACTATTGGGAATGTTTAGTGTTCAGGATTTCTTCCCTTAGGATGGATCGATACAGTTACCGGATTGGACGGGAGGCTAAAGAGGACGTCTCAAGAGTTGGATAAGCTCCAGGGTCAAGTGATCAGAGATCATGTTAGTACTACTGATGACCAAAGAAGTAAGGACCAGAGGGATGGAGAAGACATTCTGGATATTTTGTTCCAAACTCAGAAGGATTCAACGCTCGATATCACCATCACTCGAGACAACATCAAAGAAATCATTTTGGTAATATTCATTTCTGTTTCTGAACTACCAAGAAGAAGTTAGACGTGTTGTGAGTAAGAAATCCAAGTTTGAAGAAGATGGCATTCCTCAAATGGCTTATTTAAAAGCTGTTATCAAAGAGACTCTAAGAGAGTCCACTAGAGCTATCAATGTTAATGGCTACCATATCCTAGCTAAAACCAGTCTTCATCAATGTTTGGACAATTCAAAGAACGGCTGAAGGTCAAGAGGTGGGAGAACCCAAAGCGGCAGAAGGTTTGAGAGAAAGGCGCATTAACTGAGATAGGCTTTCCTTTTTTATTGTTTTTTTTAATTATTTTGACACAAATAATAAAATAATAGATAATTCCTAACAAAACAAAAACATTTAGAAAATGTATTAACTGGGACAGGTGTTACACAGCTATTAAGTGCTCACTCATTATGCTTACCTAACGTGCCTACTACATCCAGACCCTTATTGGAGTCGCAAGCACAAGCACTGCAAATGCAATTTCACTTCAAAGCATTCGATTGAGATTTGAGAGGAACATCAGCTGGAAAGCTAAAAACACCGCTCGTAAAAAACTGACCATTTGCAACATAACCCACCCTGAATTTTCAGATTGTAGTATTTTTTGCCCCCTACCATTAGCATTTCATCGGTTAAGTTTAGAAAAGAATCCCATGTGACTGTTATTTGCATGTTTAACATTTCTAAACCTTCAAACTTGCCCTTATTCTTATATCATTTTATGACACTATTTGGTAGAAATTTGATAAAATACAATGAAAACAGATAATAAGGGAAAATTAGGAAATTGTAAATATTTAATAAAGAATTAAATACAACAAAAAATGAAGAGAAAAAAGTACAAAAAACAAAAGAAAAACAGAAAATTGTAGCAAATATAGCAAAGAGAAAGTGGAAATACAGGAAAATGGGAAAATACAAAAATATCAAAATTTACAAAAAAAAAAGAGGACAGTTTAGAAAAATAATAGATTACAAAAGAATACAAAACTTTCAATGAATATTTTCATAATTTTATCTTTAATGTCAAGCCTATTAATGAAGCGAGCACAAAGTGCTGGAATCTAAAAGTTAAGTGTCACTACCCCCAAAGTATAAGGCGGTAGTGTGTAATCCACCCAAAATAAATTAAGATTGATACATTGCTAATTATGTCGATTTTTTTTCGATTTGTGCCTTTTCTATCCAATACCTATATCTAGGGGAAGACATGAATCGATACGAATTAAACTTTTTACAAGTTATTCGAGCATGGCTCATGAAAAGCTCAATTTTACTTGCATTAAATCGAGAATCTAGATACAAGCTAAGCTCAAACCCAATATATAGGTTTATTTGGTTATTGAGTCGAGCTTGAAACCGGTGAAATTCAGTTCGTGAGCCTCACAAGCCAAATTGAGCTATTATTATATATAATTTTTTTATTTTTAATATGTATAATAACAAATAATTTTTTGTATGCCTAATTTAGCTTTATATATATATATACATATACATTAAGAATTATTTTTATATAATATTTTTATTTGTATTTTTAATATATGTATGTAAAATATTTTACATGTATAATTTTTTATTTTTTATAGCAACTTGGCTCGTTCGAGCTCAAACTCAAACATATGAGTTTAAGTCAAGCCAAATTCAAATTCAACTCTCCAATTTAAATTACAACAAAAAAATGAAGAAAATAGGAAAATAAAAAAACAAAAAAAAAACAGAAAATTGTAGTAAATATAGCAAAGAGAAAGTGGAAATATAGAAAAAAATGGGAAAATAGAAAATATGAAAATTTACAAAAAATACAAAATTTTGCAACAAAGAAAAAGAGCCAAGTGTCAAGCCTATTAATGAAGCAAGCGCAAAGTGCTGGAATCTAAAAGTTCAGAGAGCTAAGTGTCACTACCCCAAAGTATAAGCCTATTAATGAACCTATTATTGTGCCCTTTGCACTCAATACCTATTACCTAGGGGTAGACATGAATCAATATGATTCAAGCTTTTTTACAAGCTATTCAAGCTTGGCTTGTGAAAAACTTGATTCAACTTGGTCTAAATCGAGAATCGAGATTCAAGATAAGCTCGAAGCCCAAAAATAGGTTCATTTGCTAATTGAGTTGAGCTTGGGAGCAATGAAACTCAGTTTATGAGGCTCACAACAATCCAAATCAAGCTTATAATATATAATATTTTTATTTTGATATATATAGTAATAAATAATTTTTTATTTGCCTAATCGACCTTATATTATATATATTATAAATTGCTATCATAGAATATTTTTATTTGTATTTTTATATGTATATAGAATCTTTTACATGCATATTTTTTTTCATGTCAAGCCAAATTCGAGCTCGAACTCAAACATATGAATTTTCATGTCAAGCCAAATTCAAAATCAGATCTCTAATTTAAATTGAGCTAGACCGGTTCTGTTTTCCCCAAAACCGACCCGGTTCTGTTTTCCCATTGGGGAAAACGTGCATCTTTCCGTGCGTCATTTCGGCTCTTTCCACGCGAGATTAAAATGTGGAAAATGCAAGAAGCTTCATTTGGATCTTCCTGAAATCAGCCCAAAATGGGTTTTTCGCATCTTTTCGACACCCCATCTTTTAACAGCGAGATCTTCCACATGCCAAACGAAAATAGACCAATTTTTGGTCTTCCCGACTTGTAAGCAACCGAAAGACCGCACAAAAAGATGCGCCAAGCAAAGCCTTAGTTTGCAGTCAATCTTAGAATTCATTTAGTTTGCAGTTAGAATTAAAATCAAAATCTGTCAAAATTAAAATCAAAATTATTTATTCTTATAATTTATTTGGTTCAAATAAGAATCAGAATGAGAATTAAAATTAATTGAAATGAAATTTCATTCTCATGAGAGGGGAAGGAAATGGCTTCAAATGGAAGAATGTCATTCCATTAGGAATAAAATGAGATTTCGATTTTATCCGGTTAAAATTAGAATTGTCATTCCAATTCTGATTCCAGACCTATTCCCGCAAACGAAACGGGCCTTAGATTTATTAGCTGTGCACCTAATCCCATCAGACATTAAGCCCGAGTTCACTGCAAAATTTTCCTCATGATTCATCGAGGCGGGACCAGCAATATAGAATCTATAGATCTCTCCATTTGGAGAGCCCATGCTGGACAAGATATCATGTAGCTATACAATTGAAGAAAGAAGTATAACACCAATCAAACGGTTGGGATTGAAAGCTGAAACTCTTCATATTTGCGTGTGGGGTCTGCCAGAGATCGTTGCTGCCACGTCGTCTGTCGTCTGAAACTGGAGAGACCAATTGTGTGGTTTGTGCCTCATTGCTTCTCAACGCTTCCTGATTGCGTCGATTGATCAGGACTGCAGATTAGATGGTGCCACGTCGGATCCCCCTGAATCTCGTCTTGGATTGATTGGACAGTAGTATTCTCCAACACCAAGCCCGTCCCATAGCGCCGAGACGATACCGTTAAATTTAACGGGAGAAAGTGCAGGCGTACACTGTGATTTACTGTATGAAACCGGCACAAAAGTCGACGGCGATGGTGTGTCGCCCAACACTTCTACTAAGTTCTCCAAATCCTCTGATAAACTCGCCGGAGCTGTTGTATGCACAACAAACTCGGCTGAATCCGGCGAGCCATCTCCGTAAGTAACACGCTCTTCCGACATTGGCGCTAATCCGATGTCGTCGCTATCGATGACTGAGTTTTGATACTCGGGATCTGAGAAATCCGGAGGATCAGCTGTCCTTGGAGAAACGCCAGGACCTGATAATGCGTCCGAGAATTCGCCGGAATACTGACTCTTTTGTGGAGAATCAGCAAGCGAGATACCATCATTTATCTGCATTGGGCGGGAAATACCAATTACCACTACAGATTCGCTGCGATAAACCTCCACAGAGTTAACTTTAGCGCCGTTAACGGTAACAACGCCGTTATTGAAGCGAACCTCGATCTCCGTTCCCGGAACCAGAGTCTCGAGCTTTGTTCCGTCCGGTAGTCTCTCAAGATCAGACAAACGGAGAAGCCGCGGTACGACATGGTGGCGGAAATCGTAACGGGAACCGTCAGCGAGTGTGAAAAGATTCTTATCGCGAGGAGCGAAAACAGTGAATGCCGTTAGTTTAGTCAGTTCTGGCAGTCGCAACGCAATTGATGTTGCCACCACGCCGTAATTCCTCCGTCTCAAAACCCTAACGGCGTCGTCAAGAAAAGAATCACCACGAGCCGTCGGATCATCAGCATCATGGACAGTACGACACTTGGGGGCAAGGGAGGGGTCCAGTATACCATCAACGCCATGGATGGCAAGATTCTCGTCCACGTAGAGATTTGGCTGCCGGATTCTGACGTAATCTCCCGCCGGTATATTTTTATTGGCAATGCAAAGTTGCCCGAGGGGATTCTTGTAGATGAAGATACAACGGCCGGGAGAGAAGGTCGGTAATGCTTTTCCGACCGGCCATGTAGTCAAATCTTCGAATAAGAGAATCTTACGCGAAGTGTGGTAGAGAAGGCGAGAGGTAGTTGGCAGAGTAGGAGCTCGTCCACTCTTGAATCTAGCAGCAGCACGAGAGAAAGCAAAATCAAGAGGGGCGAAGATGGTTCCGGTTCCATTCCAACCATCAAGATCGACGGCAGCATCCATAGCTCCGGCGAAGAGAGAATATCCTCGGTTTCGGATGCTTTCAGTTGCGGCTGAGACCGATGTTGATGAAGGTGGCATGGTTGAAGAAGCCCACGAGAGAAAGAGA